GATCCTGCCATAATTTTTCCACTTCTTTTTAAATGCCTTCTACTTAGAGGTAGGTTATCACATGATTTCCCTTGCTGAGGCACCCAGTATGGCGAGGGTGACACAACCTGAGACACAAGCAGTCACGGGCACACTTGGTGTGTTGGCAGAGGTTGGGTCCTCTGCCAGGTAGGTCAGGATACTTCCCGTGATGCTGTGTGTGGAGGTGTCCCAGACATTCCCTTCCCACCAAAGCAGAAAGCCCCTTCCAGCCACCAGCCCTCTGCAGGATGTCAGGGACATCTGCCTTCCTGTGGGCATTTGATACACCTGTCCCTGCTCTGCACTCCTGCAGCAGTCAGTCTGGATTATGCTTTTGGAGTTTCTACATAACTATTTCATAACTACCTTGGGTCATTCGTTGCTGTTTCTCACATTTTCACGGCATGGTATCTAATACAGCATCTAATATGTACCTGTTGACTTATCTCTTAAGGAGGGACTTTTGGTGATTGACAGTTGTGTTTGTGCTGGAAACTCCCCACTGATCCTAGGGGCTTCTGGCTCCAGCACCCCCTGCTCTTAGCCAGCAGCACCTCGGCCTCCTCCCGCTCGCTCTCCTGCTGCCACCCTGCCTCTGCCCATCAGATGCCTGTCTTCTCGATGGCCCAACAGCAGGGCAGACACAAGGACTCATGTTTCTCCCCACAGCTGGTGCTGAGTTAGTTCTTTCAGGAAGCACCAAACTGAACCAACTTAACAAATCCCCGACTCTTCCTAACAAAGTCAGATCAAACCAAATCATTCATGCTCTCAGCTTGCACTGGTCTTCCTGTTTGGGTCATTCTGCATTCAAGCCTTATGAGAAACATACCTGGGTGGGGCTAGGCTAGTACTGTCTTGTGAAAGATTCCCTCTGAATCATCAGGAAAAGTTCATTGCTATTGGCAATTACCATGATTATCCTTTAGATACCTGTTCTTACAGAATAATGAACTCTTGGGAAATTATGGAAAACAAATCACTGGAAAACACCCCATTTCTTCAGTTCTAAAATGCCACTGATTTTAAGATACCCTAGTTCTGTTAAAAAAAAAATTGAAACCAACTGTGAAAAATACTGCATCTTAGCATTGAGGTAACACGGCTACTGAGTAAACGAAACTAAGACATGTCCACCCTCTCTATGAGATCACCACATGAACCAATTTTCAGCAGCTGTGATGCTACGCACACTCCCACTGGGGCACACAGGTGAGCAGCCTACGTGTTCCAGGCACACGTAAGCCTAGTCTGGGGGAACGATGGCCAACTGACACCATGCTTCAGCTGATCAGATAGCTTTTACAAGGGTCTCAGTGGAGAGCATTTTTATTTTTAAAATATATTTTTATTGATTTCAGAGGGAAACACCAATGAGAATCATTGATTGGCTGCCTCCTGCACGCCCCCTACTGGGGATTGGGCCCACAACCCAAGCATATGCCCTTGACTGGGATCAAACCCGGGACCCTTCAGTCCAGTCTGACGCTCTATCAACCAAGCCAATCCAGCCAGAGCAAGAGCCTTTTTAAAAATTGTTTCCAGACTTGTGTCCCTCGTGAGAACTAATGACAATTTGGTCTGCCAGAAAATATCAATTCTGTATTCCTGGGTGTAGCCACAGGTACTCCCCAGCTCCCAAATGCATCCAGTGAGGTTGTAACACCCTCCACCCATCAACCTTCCAGGTGAAGGTAGAAGGTGGAGGCCCCTCAGGAGGACTGACATCTCATAGGTGAGGAATCCGTATGAGCTGTGAACCAGGCAGAATGGAAGGTGAGGCCGGAAGAGACTGTGCTGGACCTGCCCTAGGGCTAACTGGCCAGATAGCCCACACAACCCCTCCCCACTCATCTTTGCTTCTGACACAAATGCCCCTTTGCTGCTTTCAAGTGTTAATACTGGGGGAGTTTTCTCTGTCTTCGTGAGCTGCTACGCTGAAGAGCAAGTCCTCCAGGTCAGAGCCTTCATGTTTTCTCCTGAAAAATGGCTTCTACTTTGAGTGACATAAATTGAGTACATTTAGGGAGGAGTCCATCTTATCGACTACACTCACCTTAAAAAAAAAAAGGCTTGATTTGTAGCTCCAAGTGCACTGGAACTTCTGATACTCTATAAAAAATAGGACCTGAGCCCTAACCGGTTTGGCTCAGTGGACAGAGTGTCGGCCTGTGGACTGAAGGGTCCCAGGTTCGATTCCGGTCAAGGGCATGTACCTTGGTTGCGGGCACATCCCCAGTAGGGGGTGTGCAGGAGTCAGCTGATCAATGCTTCTCTCTCATTGATGTTTCTAACTCTCTATCCCTCTCTGTAAAAAATCAATAAAATAAAAAAATAGAACCTGAGCAAGTAAAGCATTTGACCGAGGTCAATTCCTTTTGATAAACACTAGAATGCTAACATCCTAGGTGTGTTCAATAGACTCCCAGCCTGCCTATTTAACTGGTAGTGCTTTTGATTCTCAAATAGGATCCCAGCTCTATGGCATTCATCACAAACTTCCCAGTGTAACAGGTTAGGTCACAGCTGTGGGCAAACTACGGCCCGCGGGCCGAATCCGGCCCGTTTGAAATGAATAAAACTATTGAAAAAAAGACCGTACCCTTTTATGTAATGATGTTTACTTTGAATTTATATTAGTTCACACAGACACTCCATCCATGCTTTTGTTCCGGCCCTCCGGTCCAGTTTAAGAACCCATGTGGCCCTCGAGTCAAAAAGTTTGCCCGCCCCTGGGTTAGGAGGATCATTCAACTCTACCACTTTCTCCTTCCCAGCCATATGATCTTGTTACAAAAATTAAACTTGGGGGCTTCAGTGTACTCCTTTGCAAAATGAAGACAGCAGCACCTAGTTCAAAGGAAGGTTATCATTTGTGCAAAAGGCTTACCCTCCCCAACAACCCCCAACACACACACCAGCCTCTCTAGACTACTGGGATGATACAAATCTTGGGTATCATTTAGTTTCAGCAACTCCAATGTGGACACATTCTATACAGATGAACAATTTTAAAGGAAACATGATGCTAACACTTCAAAGAGCACAGAAAAGTCCAAGGGGTCAGTGTTCTAAGCATAGAACATACGTTGTGAGCAGGAAACCAGGTTTCAAGAGAACTTCTCATTTCTTGCCATCTTTCTCCATGTTCCTCCGTCATCCTCCTGCTGTATGAAATGCCCGTTTTGTGCACTGTAACTACTGTATGTACTTGAAGCCTTCCTCCTGGGACAGCTTGGAAACTCAGTCCTTTGCTCACTTCTCGTATTGACACCATAACAAACAATGGCTGTTTGCACGGAGATGTGCCTCCCCTGGCCAGCTAGCATGGTAGACACACTTTTTATTGAAAGGTCTTCACTGTCTTAGCAAAGTCAGAAAAAATAAAAAACTAGGTCACTAAAAAACCAACACCCTTGATTTCCTGGATAAGCTTCTGCCTAAGAGCCATGCTTAAAATTATAGTTTGTTTTGTGTGTGTGATACCATCCAAGCATAAAGATATAAACTCTGGGCTCCAAAATGTGACTGAAGACAAAAGGACCTTTAAGATTTCACTTAAAGGTCACACTAACATTGTACCAGAACCAAAGTAGGAAAAAATAGAATTGTTCTCAGGGGGAAAATAACAAAAACAAATAAACCAGTAGCTAAAATGCCCAGTGTTTACGAAGTGACAGCACATGTCACCTGCAGGTGGGCTCTGCTGTCCTCTTCATTTTGGATGAGCAAATGGGCACAGCGCCGTGAAGTAATGCCTGGGTCATGTAGGAAGTAAGTCCAGCTGTCAGTGCATGGTCGTAATCACACTGCACTATATACACTATATTGGGAAGAGAATAAGCTGCTTTCTTGAACAAATCCCCTATTCAAAAAATATGCATATGGTTCAGCTGGAAAAATTACAGACCAATCAACATCTGGCGGAACCTTTAATATTTCAAAAATAAGTGTCCTCAGTAACTTGATGTGATAAGAATAGTTTTTTTCTGGGTTACTGTAATAAATTCTTGTCAAACACACCAATCATCTCAATAATCATACACACTTATTTCATTCATTAAGAACTTCCAAAAATAACTCTTCTGTTCTCACACACAAATGTCACAAGAGTGTTAAGGAACAGTCTATGAAGGAGAGAAGGAAAATTCTGCTCGAGGACACTCTCATGAAGCATTCTGCCCATTACAATTCTGACTGATGTACTCCATGAAGAAAGAGTAGCTTTGCTTTCCTTCTTTTAGTGCTTCATCTGAGAGGGAACACGAGAAACCAAGTCTCAGGAGAAAAACTCCTTTCATAGTGTAAACCACAACAGATTTTTCTAATAAAGCTTCAAAAGTTGAAGAGATGAAAAAAAATAAGCATGTATTCTATTAAACATTTCAATAAATATGCAAAAAATTCAGCAACTGTTTATATACTTTGAATATTTTATCCTGAGAAAGTATTTTAAGGAATATTTTGTTCTAGAATATTCAAAAGTAAAGCTTGCACATACACGTATTTTATACTAGGAATTCTCCGTATGATTACAATTCTGGAGCATCCTAACAATGTCAAACAATGAGAAGCCAATATGGTCACATCTATACTAGAAAGAGGCTTGAAAAGGAACAGCAGGAAATTTTATCACCTATGCCTTTGTTTTGTGCTCAACGCTTTCATAAGCTCAGGAGAGAAATATTAAAGTGATGACTTGTTTCCAAAGAGCAATTCCTAAAGCCAGTGTTCAAAGAAAAGCTGCAGGTGACCCTTTATTTCTTTCTGGTCCCTTTACCAAACCTCCATGCCACTCATGACATTACTTGTTAATATTATGCATTCCAAAATCTAAACAGGTAAACGTGTTTGCTAATTTTTACTTAACAAAACAAATTTAAGATAAAACACTTAAAATTCTCACAACACAAACCTCAGTTTTCACGTTCATTAAAACATTTCAGAATCACTCAAAAATGAGAACTGAACACGGGTGCGCTTATCTGGCAGAGAACTACTGAATTTATTCTCTAGAAGAAAAGGCAGACCTGAAGGATCACATTACTGGGACATTTCAAGCATGATGACAAGTTCTTATCTTCTAAACTTCAACAAAAGCTGCTTCAACAAATCACTTAATGAATACCTGCCCTACTAGACAAGCCAGGAATCTGACGCATTAATGATGTCAGAAGCAGAGTCACTTCACTTCTTTCTGCTGTTTCCAGTTGCTAGAATAGTGGCAACTCGCATAAATATATTTAATGTATCCATGTAGATTCCCAGCATCCTAGAAAAGAAAATAATACCTGTTTAAGTATGTAATTCTAATAACAATGACAACAACTATTTCTTAATCTAGAAAAGAAGAAAAAGCAATACTGATTATTTAACTTAGGTATATAAAATGGAAATTTTAAAACAAGATATGCCAACTAAGGAAGTCCTCGACAAGAAAATAGTCAAGATTTTCTTCTGGTAGATTAATCTTTTAAATGGCAATGAGCAGTTTAAAAATCATTATTTTATCCTCTAACACTCTACTATAAGTATAATAATATCTTGATGGGGGGTGGGGGGAGGAATGGGTGTTGGACAATACAAGAATCAAAACAAAAACAAAGAAACACCTTTACAAAAAGGTGTTAGACACAAGTCTGGCATTTTAAAATATAATATACCCTTCCCTTAAGGCCCTACTCCCCCTTCATCCAAAGAAACTGTTATGAATCTGTAAGCATTATAGCAGCATTTTAAAAGCCATCATTACAGTTTTAGTATTAAAAAAAAGACAAATAAATTGAGTTGTATGAGTTCTTTATATATTTTGGATATTAACCCCTTGTTGGAGCTGTCGGTTGCAAATATCATCTCCCATTCTATTCATTGCCTTTTTGTTTTGTCGGCAGTTTCTTTTGCTGTGCAGAAGCTTTTTAGTTTGATATAGTCCCATTCATTTATTTTTGCCTTTCCTTCCCTTGCCTTTGGGGTCAAATTCCTGATATGTTCTCTATGACCAAGGTTTATAAATTTAGTACCCATGCCTTCTTCTATGTACTTTATTGTTTCAGATCCTATATTTAGGTCTTAATCCATCCTGAATTAATTTTTGTACATGGGGACACCAGACAAAAAACCTAATTGAAAAATGGGCAAAGGATCTCAACAAACACCTCTCCCAAGAAGACATATAAGCAACCAACAGATATATGAAAAAAGATTCAACTTCATCAACTATTAGCGAAATGCAAATCCAAACTACAATGAGATACCACCTCACACCTGGTAGAATGGCTGTTATCAACAAGACAAGTAATAACAAGTGTTGGAGAGGTTGTGAAGGAAAAGGAACCCTCATTCACTGCTGGTAGGAATGCAGCCACTATGCAAAACAGTATAGCAGCTCCTCAAAAAATTAAGAATAGTTACCATATAACCCAGCAACATCTACCTGAAAAACTCTAAAACATTTATTCATAAAGATATACGCTGCTCTATGGTCACTGCAGCATTATTCATGGTGGCCAAGACATGGAGACAACCAGTGTCTTTGGTAGACGACTGGGTAAAGATGTGGTACATATACTAGTACACAATGAGATACTACTCAACTATAAGAAAAGGTGAAATACTGTCATTTGCAACAACATGGATGGGCCTTGAGAATATCATGCTAAGCAAAATAAATCAGTCAGAAAAAGCTAAGAAACATGTGATTTCACTAATATGCGGGATATAAAACTGAAACTCAGACACAGACAGACAATAGGGTGGTGATTACCAGAGGGGGGCAAAGAGTAAAGGGGCCAAGTATATGGTGGCGGAAGATGATTTGACTTTGCATGGTGGGCACACCACTCAATAAACAGATCACCCAATATAAAAAAAGGCTAATATGCAAATTGACTGAACGGTGGAAAGACCATGTGCTCCCACAGGGGGAGTGCCGCTCAGCCAGAAGCCAGACTCACCGGGAGCAGGCCTAACCTGTCAGTCGGACATCCCCTGAGGAGTACTGGACTGCAAGAGGGTACAGGCTGGGCTGAGGACCACCCCCCCCCCTAGAGTGCATGAATTTTGTGTACCAGGCCTCTAGTAGATTATAAAAATGTACACTTGAAGCCTATATGATCTTATTAACCAGTATCACTCCAATAAATATAATTAAAAAAAATTGCTTTAGCCCAGTTGGCATGGCTTAGTGGTTGAGTGTCAACCTATGAATCAGGAGGTCACAGTTAAATTCCCAGTCAGGGCCACATGCCCAGGTTGCGGGCTCAAGCCCCCCTTCCCCCCCCCGCCCCCGGTGGTGGGAGGGAAGGGCATGTAGGAGGCAGCCTACCAACGATTCTCATCATTGATATTTCTATCTCTCTCTCCCTTTGTCTCTGAAATCAATAAAAACTATTTTTAAAAAATAAGTTACTTTAAAAATATGTGGTAACACCATGAAACTCAAAGAAAATTGCTTAATATAATAACCTACTTTGGTGGAGAAAAGGAAAAAGCATTATTATATAACACCTAATATCAGTTAAATTTGAATATCTCCAAAATGAAATTTCCATACTAAGATATTTCCAATTTTTAGTAAGTCTTTTCAATTAAACATGTCAAGTCAATTATTTACACTTTCCAATGAACACCCAACTAATACATCTTTTCTTCAGTTCTAAAGTCTACTAAATATTAAAATTAATTGACCAACAAGAACACCATCAGGCTAATTATTCTGAATTAACTGGATACCTAAATATTACTTACTTGCAATAGAATAAAATTTCTATGGATACACAGTTTACTAGAGAGAGAATAGACCAAACAGCAATAGAAATAAAATAGTAAAATCTGACAAAGCCATTGTTGTGGGTTGAAATCAAAAGGTATGTCCAAGTCCTAATCTTTGGTTATCTGTGAACGTGACTCTATTTGGGAACTGGATCTTTGCGAATATAATTAAGATGTGAGTTGAGATGAATACTGGAGTAGGGTGGGCCTTAATCAAATATGACTCCCGTTCTTATAAGAAGAGGAGAGACAGCAACAGACAGGACAGGAAGAACGCTGTGTGCAGACAGAGAGGTCAGAGTGCTGGCTCTGCCAAGAAGGCAGGAGAGGCAAGGAACAGACCCTCCCACAGAGGCCTCTGAAGGTGCCAACGCTGAGGACACCTTGATTTCAGACCTCTAGCTTCTACAACTGTGAGAGAATACATTTCTCTTGTTTTAAACCACCCAGTTTGTACCGTTTGTTATAGCAGCCCTAAGAAACTAATATAATCATAAAACAGGACAAAATGAAACAAATGTCTTTATATAACAAAGACATTAAAGACTACTTACGAGTTGATGGGATCATATTTTTGAACTCCATACACTGGCACTATTTCTGCACGCTTGATGACTTTCTGCGTGTCATACAGAAGGAACATGCTGAAAAGAGCTAATCCACCATAAACTGCCACCGAGTACAGAGTGGCACCAGCCACAGTGGTAGGTGGAAGAAACATAGATCCTGAAATCAAAACGGGGGGAAAAAGGTTATTTTAAAAAAGGGACTTTTCTCTAACTATATATATATAGTTAATGCTATTTTTAAATTTTTTCTTTGGTATACCAACATAAAAAAGCACCTGAGTTATAAGCACGGTCTAATTTTATATACATTCAATTCAAAACCCATGATACTCATTTCTGCAAAGGGTGGCTTACCCACATTACAGGAAGGCTCTTGCATCAGAGCAATGCTCATGTTCTGCAGACCAACTTTGCCATTTTAGGTGCATTTGGTAAACCAATAGTAATGATTTGCCATGATGCCAAATAAGAAAATCCAGTCTAATTAGCACAGATCTTTTAAACAACTTTTAAAAATGACTAAATATCTTCCCCCCAGTAGGAAACCTGAGTACATAAGATGATTTTGGTACATCACGAACCAAGAACCAACTGTCAAAGCATAGTGGCTTACCCAGTGAAGACACAAAGACGAGGCCCAGGCCCACTCCCAGGGGTGCTCCCATGTTCAGAAACTTCTCACTGGGTGCACACATGGCCACAGTGGAGAGGCCACCTACGACACCTGCCGTGTACCATGCAGCTCTGATGAGAAGAGGCCCTCCTAATATCGTCAAAGGAGCCACCACTGCGCCCATCACACCTGGAGAAAGCAAGTGGTTTTTACTAAACAACCAAAGGGAAAATGCCACTTCTAACATGCCCTTTGAATGTATTTTACCTTATGTTAAACAGTACAATACGAAAAGCCTTCCCCTTATTTAGGTAACACTACCCCCACAATCCTACAACCAAAACTTGGGACTATCCAGATTCTAAAATCACAGCAGCATCATTATTCCTAGTCAAACAGCCACAACTCACAAGTACAAACACTAACCTACATTTTTAGTGACTTTGTCAATTCCATGCTGTAGTTAATTTTTTGGATTCAAACCTAGCTTTAGTCTTAAACAAAGTAAGATGAGAAAATGAGTATATTATGCTAATCTTAAATGTGGCTCAGGGTTGAATGTTGACCTATGGACCAGGAGGTCACAGTTCAATTCTTGATCAGGGCATATGCCCAAGTTGTGGGCTCGATCCCCAGTAGGGGACATGCAGGAGGCAGCTGATCAATAGTTCTCTCCAATCATTGATGTTTCTTTCTCTTTCTCCCTCGCTTCCTCTCTGAAATCAATAAAAAAAAGGTATTTTTAAAATGTAGAAACTTCAAGACTAGAGGTCTGTTACACTGTGTAATAAGGAACGAAATCGTAACTTGTAAAAAGTAATTTAAATTGTCATTATAAACAGCCTCATAAAAATTACAGTGAAAGTTATCAATATAATTAACCAAGTAAATAGAATTCAACTGAAAAATAAATCTTGCCCTGACCAGTTTGGCACAGTGGTAAGAGCCTTGGCCCTCAGAGTTCGATTCCTGGTCTAGGCATGTACTTGGGTTACAGGTCCGCATGTGCAGGAGGCTACCTATCAATGTGTCTCTCTCGCCTCGATGTTTCTCTCTCTCCCCTCCCCCTTACCTCTCTTCTATCCTCTCTAAAAATCAATGGAAAAAATACCCTCAGGCGAGAATTAACCAAAAATAAATAAACAAACAAACAAACAAGCAAATCTTAGATAAGGCATTATTTCAGGGGTGAGTAGAACAAGTTACCCTTTTCTTAAACATTAAATGTGTATAGTTTAACTCACAGAATAGGCACAGAGCTGTCTTCATACTAACATTTCAATACTAGTGTGTTCCTTTTGTGAGAATAACATTTCTAGATCAAGTAGTAAGGTAATTAATTGTATTTCATGATGAATAACTTTAAAAAATTTTTTGCTCTAGGAAAAGACACTAAATAAAATTCTTCTATATAATATTTCTGTTGGGATTTCCATCAGTTTTACATTTGATAGCAAAATTTTTATCAAAACTTTTAAGGAGACTGTTCAGAGACTTTTCAATGACACTTTCTGATAAAAATCTTAAGTGGTTATAGCTGTGTGCTGCTTAAGGACAAATCAATTATAAAACTAACAAGGATAGCTCATTATTATTGTGAATGAAAACTGGAATTCAGCAAATTGGTTCAACCACTGTAGAAAACAAGTGTGGACCTTCTTCAAAAATTATAGCCAGAACTATCATATGATCCAGCAATCCCACTTCTGGGTTTATATCAAAAGAAATTAAAATCAGGATCTCATAGAAATAGCTACATTTCCATGTTCACTGCAGTATTAGTCACAATAGTCAAGATTAAAAAACCTAGGTGTCCATCAATGGATAAATGGGTAAAAATATATACATATACAATGGAACATTATTCAGTCATAAAAAACAAAATCTTTCCATTTTTGTCAACATACATGGACCTTGAAGGCAATATGCGAAGTGAAATAAGTCAGACAGAGAAAGAAAAACACAGTATTATCTCACTTATACGTGGAATCCAAGAGTCAAACTCAGAGAAACAGAGTATCCTGGTGGTTACCAGGTGTTTGCGGGGTTGGGGTGGGGGGTGGGGGAGAACTGTGGAGCTATTGGTAAAAAATATAAACTTCCAGTTGTACGATTAACAAGTTTGAGGATTTAATGTACAACATGGTGACATTAAAATAAACAAATGGAGACTAGATGTGAACTTTCCCTAGGCAGACAAAACCAGTTGAGTCATAAAAATAAAGCTCAATTTAGTTTATTTTACAAGATTAACCTGACCTGGGTCATTTCCTGCTTATGCCTCTGGAAGTCATTAGCAAAATTTGAACTGTTTCCCCAGGCTGATATGAGGTAACCACAGAAAATTCTATTATAACCAATCCCTGTAAAGAACAAACAGCCAGCCCTAACCGGTTTGGCTTAGTGGAAGGCCGGACTGAAGGGCCCCAGATTCGATTCTGGTCAGGGGCATGTACCTTGGTTGCAGGCACATCCCCAGTAGGGGGCGTGCAGAAGGCAGCCGATCAGTTTCTCTCTCATCAATGTTTCTAACTCTCTATCCCTCTCCCTTCCTCTCTGTAAAAAAATCAATAAAATGTTAAAATAAAAAAGTTAAAAAGAACCACCAACCACTGCTTTCTCACTATATAAGTTGCTTTATAATAATACTAGAGGCCTGGTACATGAAATTCGTGCCCTCGGGGGATGTCCAAATAATGGCTTAGGCTCGCTCCCCACAGAAGTCGGACTTCTTAGCACTGCTACAGAGGTGGGAGAGGCTCCCACCACAGCTGCTCTGCTTGCCAGCCGTGAGCCTGGCTCAGGGCTTCTGCTTGAGCGGTATTCCCCCGTGGGAGTGCACTGACCACCAGGGGACGGCTCCTGCATTGAGCATCTGCCCCCTGGTGGTCAGCACACATCATAGCCACCAGTCTTTCCGCTGTTTGGTTGATCTGCATATTAGCTTTTTATTATATAGGACTAGAGGCCCAGTGCACAAAAATTTGTGCACTCGAGGGGAAGGGGGGGTCCCTCAGCCCGGCCTGTGCCCTCTCGCAGTCTGGGACCCC